TGGGATGAGCTTGTATCTTTAAAAATGTCAATAGTTTACAAGATACGTTTCTTAATTATTAATATTTTTAAAGATATAAGCTCATCCCGATGTTACACTCATCAAGAGCTTTCATTTAAGTACCTACATGCATTTTCATATATTTTTCATATATACATATATATAATATTTATAAATATATGAAAAATTGATGTGGGTACTCAAATGAAAGGTCTCGATGAATGTAACATCGGGATGAGCTTGTATCTTTAAAAATGTCATTAATTCACAAGTTACAGGGTAATTTCTTATTTATCTAGAGATAGAGCATTTTGGAATGCAGCTTCAATAATTGCCATAAAATGATGAAAAAATTTCTGTCCGTCAACTCCAATGTCATTTCTAAATTGATAATAATTGAAAAAATTTACCTGATGAACTGGAGCGTTGAATCGAATTGACGATTTTATAAGTTTTTTGTATGCTAAAGTCAAACAAGCAGATCTTAGCCGCGTTGCTGTTCTAAGATTTAATGAAGCGCTCCATGCAATTAAAAAATAAGAAACAATTTCAGCTGATATTAATATACCAATATGACTAAAAATTATCACTTGGTCCATTATTATTTCATGTTTGAAATTTTTAGATATGTTTCTGAAAGTATTGTTGGCGCTTGTGGAGTTTATGCTTGTGGTTGTATTTTTGTCTAGTGTACTAGTCATGTTCACTCGATCCTCGGTTGCTCTTATTATTTTTTGCAACACAATTATCTACAAAAAAATCGGACCGAAATCAATAACTCCTCTTTAGTGGAAAATTTTTAGTTTTCTTAGTGGGAAGTAAAAAAAAAAAAGAAATTAGGGTAAAAGATCCCATTACTGACACTTTCTTTGATTTTGGTATTTAATCAATTAATGAAATCATTAATTTCTATTATGAATATATTGTTTCTAATCTTTAACACCTCAAGATCAAAAAAAATTTTTTTTTTATTCCAAGTAGCACATTTTTTCATTGAAAGAAAAAACGCCACTAATAGAGCTTAGAGGTGTTACTAATTAATTAATTGAATTTTAATATTAATTAAAAATACTTGCCGGACTGGTGAGCGCTATTAACATTCCTAAGAAGTATATGAATGAACTGACAAGTACTCGAGTTTTTACAAAATGCCATGCAATTCTTGGTACTGATGCGCCCGCTTGTCCTCGCTCTACTACATGGTTGTGCCATAATGTGTCTATCCTGAAAAATTATATGATATTGAATTTAATTAACAGACATCTAAAAATTTTTTAGATTTTTATAACAATTAAATTATAATGAAGAAAATTCCACATAAAAAAACTATCCAAAAAATAATAAATATAAGTTTTTTTTATTATTTTTTTTTTATAATTAATTTTTTATTTTTTTATTAAAAACAATCAATTAATAATGAAAAAAATTTAACAAAATCCTATTTGAAAAATTTTAAACAATTATTAGTGCAAATTTTTTTATAATTATTAACTTTTTAGATTTTTAAAACAATAAAATTATCATAAAAAAATTCCATACAAAGAAATTTTATAAAAATTATAAATGTGAGTTTTTTTAAATATTTTTTTTATAATAATTAATTTTTAAGATTTTTATAACAAAAAATTAATTTATAATTTAAAAAAAAATTTTATATCAAGAAATTTTATGAAAATTACAAATGTGAGTTTTTTTTAATAATTTTTTTATGATTAATTTTTAAGATTTTTATAACAAAAAATTAATTTATAATTAAAAAAAAAATTTAATAAAAAAATTCTATATGAAGAAATTTTATAAAAATTAGAAATGTGAGTTTTTTTTAAATATTTTTTTTATAATGATTAATTTTTAAGATTTTTATAACAAAAAATTAATTTATAATTAAAAAAAATTTAACAAAAAAATTCTATATGAAGAAATTAAAAAAAAAAAATTATTTATAATAATTTGTGATAAAAATTTCAAAAATTATTATTAAGTGTTATAAAAATATTTAGCTTGTTAGTTATTGATTAAATATCAATCTAACTTTAAAAAAGAGCGCGCATAAATTAATAAATCAATAAACTACCATATTAAAATTTATCAGTCATTAAATTGAATATCAATAGATGTAATTAAACAATACCTGGATCCATTAACTTGGCATGATTCTTGTGTTGATATACTAGGCAATGGTTTATCACGTAATCCATTTTTATACCCGACTTTAATATATTCATTAATCCAACTGAAAGAAACACTTGACAGCAATCCAATTTTATCCAAAGGAATTTGCGATCCTGGAATTCTTAAAATATAAATAAATAAATATTTATATTTATTTCAAAATTTAAATGATAATAAACTTACTTTTTAAACCTCACAGGTACACAATTAGCAAGTGCGGTGGTATATCTTGATAAGCGATTGTGTTGTACGTATGTTGAACTGTATTTATCATTTTTTTTTCTCGGCAAAAGTTTGCCTTGTCCGTTGTTATCAAAGCTGAGAAATAATTAAATTATCAGTGATTGAATTAAAAATAATTAATGTATCATTAAATAAATTTAATAAAACGTAAAAGATTGTTCACCTGGTGCAGGCATCATTAATAATGCCCAAAGAAGAAGAAGACATTCTTCAATTAATCAATCCAGATTTATTATTTTAAACATTAGAATGTGATTTATATTATTTAAGCAACTAAAAGTTTGGTATAGGGACACTCGATCGCTTATCATATCAAGCCACTCCTGACTATCTATCTATGTTTATCAGATAAAAAAATTCAATGTCGAAATGTACATACTGTCACTCTAAACGATTACATCCTTAGTCACTAACTATGTTTTCAATTTCAATAAATTAGAAAAAACTAAATCAGAGCTTTCAAGGCAAAGTCAGTAATGACTAATGATTACTCTTACTCTTACTCTCTACGTGTCTTTTGATAGATTAACATGAAGATATGACGATTTAAAAGACTGTTATCGCGTAAAATGACCCGCATTTCTTACATATCTTTATCGACAACGCCTAATTTATTAATTAAAACTGATTAATTTAAAATTAACGACGGATATATTTTTGTAGTTATACAAGAAATTACCTTGTATCTTGTGAACTATTGATATTTTTAAAGATATAAGCTCATCCCGATGTTACACTCATCGAGACCTTTCATTTGAGTACCCACATCAATTTTTCATATATTTTATATATTTATATATTTATATATATGAATATATGAAAAATATATCAAAAATGCATGTGGGTACTCAAATGAAAGCTCTTAATGAGCGTAACATCGAGATGAGCTTATATCTTTTGAAACGTCAATATATAAGAAAGTACAGAGCAATTTAACAAATATCTTGTAAACTATTGACATTTTTAAAGATATAAACTCATTCCGATGTTACACTCATCGAGACCTTTCATTTAAATACCCACATCAACTTTTCATATATTTATATATATTATATATATGTATATATGAAAAATATATCAAAAATGTATGTGGGTACTCAAATGAAAGCTCTTGATGAGTGTAACATCGGGATGAGCTTATATCTTCAAAAACGTCAATATTTAAAAAAGTACAGCGCAATTTAACAAAATTCATTATTTAATAAAGCAAAATTTTATTTATTCATAGTTCATAAGACACGGCAGTCACATGGTGACTGCAAGGTGGCTAATAATCAATTATTTAGATCAAAATTAGAATTTTTACCGATTGCATTAAGGAGAGGCATGATTATCTGTGTTTACCAAGAAGTAATTCTACTATTTATGAAAACTATTTTCCGATTCATGGCATAAAAATTTAGAATTAATTACCGGCTGATATTACAGTAATCGACAACTTCGATCATTTTAAACAAGCTTGTTATAACTTCCTCTTGCAACCAATGTAATTACCATTAATAATTAACATTAACATTACAATTATTAATTAACATAAATCTTTTAAATTGCGAACACTATATCTAATGTGTACTTTTGGATTATTATCTTTATAAATTGTTAATGGTCCTGAAGGAGCTTAGATCTCCAGGATCAAAATAAAATTTTTTATCTATCTATTTATCTACAAAGAATTACAAAAATTATAGTAATACAATATTTATTTATTACAAAATATGGATTAATAAAAATTAAAGGCAAAAAGGCACTTTATACGGTTAATGTGACATAATAAAATATTTTTATCAAAAAGATTCAATATTAATAATTAATAATAAAATATACTTTGGTTAATTAATTAATGTGGCTAATTAAAAACCCTTATTAAATAAAATGATTCGATATAATTAATTTTCTAATCATTTTTAATTAATCCTGTTAAATAATTTTAATTCATATCTCTTATAGGCATTTAAAATTTGTAAAATAATTATTAATTATTTTTTTTAATAAGGGAAGGCAAGATCTATTCAGTGAAATTTTAAAAACTGTTCAACTGATTGATCGATCATTTTATGAGGCAGGTATTCTTTTAGGATTAAGATCATACATGCGCCGCATTCGTTTCTTTAATTCTTGAGGAAATTTATCGTAGCATTTTTTGCAGGCCGGACGTAGGTCAAATTCGAAGAATTTCGTCTTCTGATTCATCTTTTGGTCGCAGAATGCGCAAGCAAAGTGATGAACGCACCAGGCTTTGTTCAAAGCAGTAAACACTGTAAAAAAAATTTTTTTTTTTTAATTTAATTAATAGGTTTGTTTGTTGTTTACTGTAACAAGAAGTTAAAAATAACTTCTTACCATCACCGGCGATTACTTGATTGCAGACAAAGCAGAGGTTGCCGAATAATTGATGGTAGTGAGTCTCGCAATACGCTAGACCTTTCTTTTCATAATGACGGTGACCTAAGAACGGTTTTTCGCATTTAGCACAAACAAAATGCTCCACGTGCCAATGTTTACCCAAAGCGGTAACTACGCGCTCTTCGATAGGTCGTCGGCAAGCTCCACAGATTGGGATTCCCATTTTGTCATGGCATCTTAAGCAGTATAATTCATTCTGAAATGATTTAATAAATAATTAAGTTAAATGAATAAATTTTAAATAATTATAACTAGCAACCGTGCAGTCACTATGTGACTGCCGAGACTTGTGAAATATAAATAAATAAAATTTTGCTTTATTAATTAAATAGTAACTTTTGTTAAATTGCATTGTACTTTTTTGACTATTGACGTTTTTAAAGATATAAGCTCATCCCGATGTTACACTCATCAAGAGCTTTCATTTGAGTACCCACATGCATATTTGATATATTTTTCAAATATACATATATATAATATATATAAATATATGAAAAATTGATGTGGGTATTCAAATGAAAGGTCTCGATGAAAGTAACATCGGGATGAGCTTATATTTATAAAAATGTCAATAATTCTCTAGATACAAGGTAATTTCTTAATTATGTTAAATTACACTGTACTTTCTTAACTACAGACAATTTTTAGGATATAAGCTCATCCTGATGTTACACTCATCCAGAGCTTTCATTTGAGTACCCACGTGCATATTTGATATATTTTTCATATATATATATATATATATATAATATATGAAAAATTGATGTGGGTACTCAAATGAAAGGTCTCGATGAGTGTAACATCGGGATGAGCTTATATCTACAAAAATCTCAATAGTTCTCTAGATACAAGGTCGTTTCTTAATTATGTTAAATTGCACTGTACTTTATTCTTAACTATTGACGTTTTTAAAGAAATAAGATCATCCCGATGTTACACTCATCAAGAGCTTTCATTTGAGTACCCACATGCATATTTGATATATTTTTCATATATACATATATATAAATAAATATATAAAATATATGAAAAATTGATGTGGGTACTCAAATGAAAGGTCTCGATGAGTGTAATATTGAGATGAGCTTATATTTTTAAAAATGTCAATATCTTACAAGATAAAAGGTCATTTCTTAGTTGTGTATCTAGAGATAGAGCATTTTTGAATGCAGCTTATAATATTGATAATAATAGATAATAAATTATAATTACCATTTCATTAGCAGCATAACCAGGTCTTGATCTTACTTCTCGAGCATCGGAATTCAATTCTACTCCACAAGCTGTACAACTGAAGTGATACGGATGATAAACTTCCCCACGGAATCTCAATGGCTTGTCGTCAATTACTCCACTATAATTTAATTAATAATAAATTATTTACTAATTTATTAATTAATTTGAAGGAAGTTTGATTTTTTTTTTTGCAGATAATAACTCACTGGCATTGATGGCAAATATGCTTTCCAAGTGCGCCAGCTTTAACTCGCGCATTGCAAGCGTGGCACAAAGCCCTTCCTTGACACTTAATGAAACCAGCATCAGCTAGTTCACCGTTGCACTCTTCGCAGCGGAAGCATCCTGGATGCCAGTTGGCATTCATCGCTTTTATTACTCGACCAATTACAAATTCACCTAAACAATTACAGTCAAAACTCTATATTAAAACTCTATTAGTAATCGCTAATCCCCGATAATAATAAATTATTCTATTAATTATAAATTATAATTAATAGAAGAATTTATTATTGATTATTATTGAAAAATAAATACCGCATTTTCCACAACATGGGGCGAACAACACGTGGAAATCATGTTCGCAATATTTTCTACCTTCGAATTCGTAGAAAATTCCTTCTGGAAATGGTCTGAAGCATTGAGCGCATCTAAAAAAATTAAAATCAATATAAATAATTATGGCGAATGATATTAAGTAAAGTCAAAATAAAAATTTTATTTAAATCCGCAGACAGCTGACAATTTTTTTTTATTTTTATTGTAAATCCATTATAAAAAAAAAGAAAAAAAAAACATTATTTTAATAAGAAAAATCCTAAAAATTAATGACACTGAAGTTAGCAGACGCGTCTAAAAATTTTTGAATTTTTTTTTTTTTAATTAAATTACAACTATAAAGATATTTATAAAAAATTGCACTTATAGTTTTTTAAGTTTTTAACACGTGATATTTTTTTTTCAATTGTTTAATTGAAATTTTTTTGATAAAAAATTTCTAAAAATTCTGAAAAATGTCAGCTAACTTCATTTTCATAAAAATTATCAAATGTCTGCCAATTTAATTTATGAAAAAAAAAATTAATAAAACGAAAAAATTTCGCATGTAGAAATTTTAAAAAATTATGCGTGCATTTTTATTAACTATTCATTCACTTATGATTTAATTAATAAAAAAAAAAAAAATTGTTGAACGTCTGCTAATTTTAGTATCTTATTTAATTTTCATGTTTATTATTGAGTATTAGAATTAAAAAAAAAAATACTTACACAAAACACTGTGTGTGCCATAATTCACCGTGCGAATTGACAATTTTTTCATGAGGTTCAAATCCTTCCCGACACCGGGAACAGAACATATTATCCAAAGACATCCCTGTTACTCTGTAAATTTAATAAATAAAATATAATAAATAAATAAATAAAATTAAAGTAAAATAAAATTATCCTTAAAAAAATACCCTGAACGTTTTGGAGCAATATAAAAATTTTTTTCACCGGAATAATAATCACTATAATTATTTTTAGGCATCAATAAACTATCTTTTGAGTTCATTCGACGGTGATACAAATCACTACCGTCCAATGGGCCTAAAGGCAAAGATTTAGGTGACAGATCAGCCATATCAAAACAATTAATAAATAATTGGTCAAAAAATTACACAATTAATTTAAAATAGCTAACAAGTTTTCAGAAAAAAATTGATATGTTATCTTTATTGTTTTTTTTTTTTCTCTAAATCTCGATAAGATAAAAAAACAACCAGACGCGTGCAATAATATTTAATAACTAAATCTCTTGATAATTTATAATTCTTATTATCACTGTATTTAATCAAATATAATTAAAATTAATTTTAAGAATGAAAACTTTTAAAATTTTAAATTCCACTTCATCATCACATGTTTTAAAAATAATAATTGTTTACAATTGAATAATAAATCAATTGATTAGATGATGTCACTTCTATAAATAGAATAAAAAATATTTTCTTGCTTACCCTGGCATTATTTAGAGGTTAAATGTGTATTTATTAAAAAAAAACACCTCAGTAGATAATTGTGAAAATTTATTTAGCAAATATTTAATTATTTTTAACAATAAAAAAAAACTGACATTTAAAAATTTTTAAGTGTAATTTTTTAAAAATAATTTATTTGTTAAATAAAATAAAAAAAATTATCAAGTGACAACTCAAGTGTCATAAAATAATTAAATATGTAAAAATGAATTTACTTTTGTTTATTATTCTTTAAATAAATTAAAAAACCACTAAAGTGACGTGTTGCTTGCAAGATCAACAATAAAATGGAACATCTATTTTAAAATTATATACCAGTGCCACTACACCCTTTTTACTGCCCACGAAAACGAATTTATTTATGGTTATATTATGAATTTTTTAATCTCTTAAAAATTTATCAACAAAAAAGTATTTTTTTTTTAATTAATTTTACAGATAAATATTTAATTATAAAACACTGTAACGTCACTTTTACCTCAATTGTTAACTATATTACAAAATAAATTATAATTAATCCATTGACATCATCAGAATCCAAGAATCCAGGGATTTACAGCAACAGAACGACAACCACACCCACAGACACAAAACCAAGACCTTTACTAACACATATTTAGAATTGACCAATCAGGTTCGTTTATTTTATTCAGTCCTTATAAAGCCGTCAAAATAAAATAATTATTTTAATAAATTATAAAGTTAATTTAATTTAATAATCTAAAATACTGATTTTCTTAAAATATTTTAAGTCTAAATAATAATTAATAAATAATTAATTAAAATTAAGTTACAAGATGACACTGGTTATTATCTCAGATTATACTCAGTGATATCTGTGATGAAAAAAAATTTATAATACTAAAGTTAGCCGACGGTTCTAATTAAAAAAATTTTTTTAAAACTGTACGTAAAATTTTTCAAATTTTTTACAAATGGATTTTTTTTTTATTTTTTTAAATAATTTTTTCAATAAAAAAAATTATAAAAATTTTTAGATGTCGGCTAACTTGATTTTCATAAAAAATTTTAGATAGTATTAAAAACAATATTTGACTATCCTAATATCTGAAATTAATAATAGTCGATTTATAATAAATAATGATCAACTGGAAAAAAATATCATTTCAAACAGTAAAATTGTGATTTTAACAATCACTTTATAATATTTATCATTTAAATGCTACAATTTATTATTTCCATGGAAGAAAATACTATTTCAAACAGTAATATTCGCTATGTGAAAGTCCAAAATGTTAAAGTATAATAATTAAGAATTTTGACTTATGATATGTAAAAAATATAAACTACAGTTACTTAATTTCTATACAAGCAACGTCAATATTTACAAAGTAAAATGGTAAATTTTAAACACAACGCTAAAAATCAAACTATAATTATTAATTTGCTTGGACTGGTAAAATATACATTTTAAGAGTAGAATTTTTACTGTTTCAAATGTTAAATTCTCCGAGTGTGAGACCTTCCCTTTCTCCTCATAGTATATACTATAGGGTGTGCCAAAATGTATCTTCCTTGGTGGACCTTTTAAAATTGGAATTTTGAGTTCCGCTTTCAACAGGAGTTGTGTTTGGGCATTTGCTGTCATATTTTGAGCGTAAACGATTTATTTGATTTTTATAGAATTTTTTAACAGGAGTTTTGTTCGGCTAAATTTTGAAATTTTTAAATTCCAGCAAAAATGGCCGAACGAAACTCTTGATAAAAAATTCTATAAAAATCAAATAAATCCTTTACGCCCAAAATTTGTCAAGAAATGCCCAAACACAACTCCTGTTAAAAGCGGAACTCAAAATTCCAATTTTAAGAGGTCCATTAACGAAGTTACATTTTGGCACACCCTAATATACTATATATAATATTGAAACGGCAATTTTTACTGTTTGAAAGTGTAATTTTTTAAGATGAGAGAGTCGTTTTTTACTATATATCCCAAGCGGCAAAAACTTTTTTTTGTTAATGTTTTGTTAAATTTAAGTTGACAATTATAAATTTCTGACTTCTTGTTAAATAAAATCTCCCAAAAAGTCAACATTTTTTTTGTGACGCTTGGGTAATGACAGCTACTAATCACATTTTGGATATTAAATTATAAATTTTGACTTTTACACTTTCTACATTAACTTTTGTAATATTTACATTTGTGCCGACCCGATGTCTGTTGTACTCTTTGAAATCATAAAAATTAACCGGAATCCGAGTGAATTTTACAGTTTACTTTTTTCAGTATACTAGCTACTATCTAAAATTTTTTTTCACTACAAATATCACTGAGTATAATCTGGGATGATATCCAGAGTCATATTGTTCTTTCCGTGTAGCCGACATCTGAAAATTTACAGAATTTTTTTTCATTGAAAAAATTATTACAAAAAAATTTCATTTGTAAAAAATTTGAAAAACTTTTTAAGTTTTGCAATTCTTAAAAAACATTTTTTTGTTCTAATTTAATTATTAATTAAAAAAAAAACTAAAAAATGTCGGCTAACTTTAGTATTATAAATAATTATTGCATTGGTAAAAACTTGAAAATATTAACAATAAATTTTTTTTTTTTTTAATGATGATAATTGCCGCATCTAGGAAAATTTTTCGGAGTCTTAGTCATCTGTGAATGTTCTCCGACTTTGAGGATGAAGCCCATTCCCATTTCCATGTGGTTCGCCAGGTGACAGTGCAAGAACCAGTACCCAGGATTAGAAGCTACGAATCGTATCACAGTAAATCCCTTAGCAGGGACACTGATGTTGTCCTTAACAGGAGCGCGACTGAATTTTTTTTCAACGAGTCCCTGCTCATTTAGCCTTTTTATTTCTTCAAAGGAGACATTTTTTCCCATTGACACCATTGCAACCACGTGGAAGTCATGCCCGTGCAAATGAACCGGGTGATCTTGATCCCGGTCATCAGTAATGTCCGCAAAGACCATCTCAACTAAACTGTCTTTGGTTACGCTGTAAATAAGCAGACATTTACAAAATCCCTCAAAACATTCTTTATTTTTATAATTTTCTTCATTGCAAATTGACGAAGATGATAAATCTTCATACTGCGTTAGCAATGGTACTGATGGAAATTCAAAGCTCATGTCATTTATCTGCGGATATGGCCCTGGGGCATAATGGGTCACTGTAAAATAAAATTATTTAAAGATAGATAAGGATTAGTTTTTTAATTAGTAATTAATAAAAGTACTTACTGTAAGTATTAAATGAAAATTTATAATAAAATACATAATCCGGAGTCCTTGAAATGTCTTTCGACTTATCTTTAGTATTGTTTAAATCGATAACTTTAATTAATGAATTGTTTGAATAATCTTCAGCTAGGATGGCCATGGGATTTAATAACTGCAATTTAAAATAAATAATTAATTAACTAATTGATTAAGTGGTCAGTTATGTAAATAGTTAGTTAATTGATTAAACTATGAATGCATAAGTATTGATAATACTTTAATGCATGTAAAAAATTTTACAATAATTATACAATATTAAAGATAAAACTATGTAAAATCAATAAAACTAAATATTGTATGAAAATTAATTTAGTAGATATTTAAGAAATTAAAAATCCAATTTTGCTTTATTGTATAATGACTTTTATTAAATTGCACTGTACTTTTTTAACTATTGACGCTTTTAAAGATATAAGCTCATTCCGATGTTACACTCATCAAGAACTTTCATTTGAGTACCCACATCAATTTTTCATATATTTTATATATTTATATATTTATATATATGAATATATGAAAAATATATCAAAAATGCATGTGGGTACTCAAATGAAAGCTCTTAATGAGTGTAACATTGGGATGAGCTTATATCTTTAAAAATTTCAATAGTTCACAAGATACAAGATCATTTCTTAATTACTGATATTTTTAAAGATGTAAGCACATCCCGGTGTTATACTCATCAAGAGCTTTCATTTGAGTACCCACTTGCATTTTTGATATATTTTTCATATATACATATATATAATATATATAAATATATAAAAAAATGATGTGGGTACTCAAATGAAAGGTCTCGATGAGTGTAACATCTGGATGAGCTTATATCTTTAAAAATATCAATAGTTCACAAAATACAAGGTCATTTCTTAATTATTGATATTTTTAAAGATACAAGCTCATCCTGATGTTACACTCATCAAGATCTTTCATTTGAGTACCTACATCAATTTTTCATATATTTATATATACCATATATATAAATATATACTATATATATGTACATATGAGAAATATATCAAAAATGCATGTGGGTACTCAAATGAAAGCGCTTGATAAGTATAACATCGGGATAAGCTTATATCTGAAAAAATGTAAATAGTTCCCAAGATGCAAGGTCATTTCTTAATTATCTATCTAGAGATAGAGCATTTTTGAATGCAGCCTAAATACTTATTATTATAAATTGTTTATTGGTGAGAATGATATGAAACCTTGAAAAGACACAAATTAAAGTCAAGACTTTTTCAATGATACCAAATTTAAGAATTTAACCACAAAAACCCATTTTATCGTATAAATACACTGGCCACAAAATTTTTCTTATTCTCTTAATAATATAAATTATACATACCACACCCGGACGATTACCATCCTCGTAATTGGTAGAACCCTTGGGTTCTTCCTCTTGAGACTGGTTATACCTTAGAATAGCGACTTCTGATATCCGGACACCATTTTTGTCACAATCTCCTCTGCCACGGTATCTGATCCAGTAATTATCCGGCCTTTGATTAGCATAAAGTACAAAGTCATAACGCTCGCCGGCATTTATGAAGAAAGAATCAACTAGAACAGGCTCAAATACACCACTCTCAGAAGCAATCACCAATAACTGGTGATTGTCCACGGATACTTGAACTGGACAATATATGGGACTATTAAACATTACGCGGAATCTGTATTTTTTTCCCTGGAGGAAAAAAAAAGTCTTAGTCTTAGCTGGCACGTGACAGTAATTTTCTTGAAAATAATTAAATAATTTACCTCGTTTACGTGAAATATTTCTTTAGGCGTTTCGTAAGACGTGTTTTGCGAAATATACTTTGCTTTGGAGGACAAACCATTGATTAAAAAACTATAGCCGTAGACTTTTGAGTATCTATGAAGCACAGTCGCTAATTTATACACCGTGGACATTTCATACCAATGCCAAATCGTCATAACATGTTCAGCTAAGTCATTGTCGTAGTATTTATTTAATGGATCGTTGGGTTTTCTCACAATTAAACTCCCGTAAAGTCCGTCAGCTTCTTCGAATCCTTGAGGATAAATTTTTAATTATTTTATTTTAATTTTAAATTAGATGCTAATAGTTTATTTTAATTATTAATTATTATTTATTATTTATTATTTACCGATATGTGAGTGCCAAATGTGGGTACCGGCAGGTGATGCATTAAATTTATAAACAAAGTTATTATGAGGTAATATTGGACATTGTGTAATAAATGGTACACCATCCATGAATGGTGTGTCTACTTGATGGATACCGTGCCAATGTATTGTCGCCGAATCACTTGCAAAATTATTTATTACGTTTACTATTACTGTGTCTCCTTCACATACCTATTAAAAAAAAATTATTTGTTAGCTTTATTGAAAAATAATTATTCAGACAATTTTTAGAATTTTTTTTTTATTAAAAAAATTATTTAAAAAAAATAAAAAGCTATTTTTTTGGGATTAATTTAATTAATAAAAAAAAATGCCTAAATTTGACAATTTTAGATTTTTTTTTATTAAAAAAAATTAAAGGCTTTTTTTAAATATTAGCTTCTTTGGATTTTATTTAATTGATAAAAAAAAATTGTCAAGATTATAAATTAAATATTCAAACTAAATTACCAGATATTTGCAATTTTAAGGGTTTTTTGTTTATTAAAAAAATTATTTAAAAAAAAAATAAAAAGCTATTTTTAAAAATTATTTTTTTTACGATTAATTTTATCTAAAAAAAAAAAAAATACGTCTACTAAATTCAGGAATATAAATTAAATACTAAATTAAATATTTAAATTAAATTACCAGATATCTAACAATTTTTAGAATTTTTTTTAAATTATTAAAAAAAAAAATCAAAAAATTATTAAATGTTTACTAATTCCAGGATTATAAATTAAATATTTAATTTAAATTGCTAGACATTTGGCAATTTTTAGAATTTTTTTTTTTTCAGTAAAAAAATTATTTAAAAGAAAAATAAAAAGTTATTTTTTTTTTAATTAATTAAATTAATAAAAAAAAATTGTCTACTTATTTCAGGATCATAAATTAAATACTAAATTAAATTACTAGACATCTGACAATTTTCTAAAATTTGTTATCAAAAAAATTATTATTAAAAAAAAAAACAAAAAAATATTTTTATTGGGTCTTATTCAATTAATCAAAAAATCAAAAAAATTTTAAATGTCTGCTAATTCCAGGATTATAAATTAAATATTTAATTTAAATTGCTAGACATTTGGCAATTTTAGAATATTTTTTTTATCAAAAAAATTATTTAAAAAAAAATAAAAAGCTATTTTTAAAAACTGTTTTTTTTTTTTTATTTTATTTAATTAATAAAAAAAAAATCAAAAAAATTTAAATGTCTGCTAATTTTAGGATTATAAATTAAATGTCAATTTTTATGGTCTTGAAATTTAAAGTCCTGATAATTAACAAAATTTTTTTTTAACCAATAAATCATAACAATAAAAAATTCTGCCATTAAAAGCTTTGAAAAATAATAAATCCAATTTTTTAAAAATAATTTTCTAGACCTAGTTTATTTAAAAAAAAAAATAAAAAAATTGTGTTTGCTAATTTAAGTTGATTTTTCTTCTTAAAAAAAAAAAAAATTACACATTTAAAATATTTAAAAACCAAAAAAAATTATCAATAAATTTAAAAAAGAAATACATACTTGAATACTAGGTCCGGGTAACATGTGATTAGCAACAGTAACAGGCCGAACATGTCCACCGGCAGTAATGCACCCATTTAAGAAGCAATCCTCCTTATTAAAAGGACAATCTCGACACGCGTAACTCATTGAAGTGTACTGTTTTAGTACAAAAGTATATTTACAGGTGCGCTTAATTTTATCATCACAATTTCTGTAACACGGATGCCACTGCCCGCCAATAATTTCTTCTTTAGCCGGAATATAATTATTACTAATATTTTTAACAGTCTCAAATCTTTTGGATCTGAATGAACTCGAAGAAATTCCGTAAAGATATAAAAATAGTATGATTTTTAATATAAGTTGCGTCATTGTTTGTTTTAGGTGGTAGGTAGTAACAAAGACTTGTTGTCATTAACAAGTTTGACGAACAACTGAGTTAAATATCATCATCTTCGCGTTAATCTATATTATCAGCACGTGTTGCATATTTTTTTTTCCTCGTTTTTGTTATTCAACTTAAGTATAAGTGAAAGTTTAGTTAATGGTAGGGACAAACTTGTTTAAATTGATTGATTACTTGAGAATTTTAAAAATGAGTTTATGCACGTAAATATTTTTGGTAATTTATGTAAAAAAAAAAATAATGGACCTTGACATAAATTTTAAAATTATATATATTTATAACTCTTGGATTTCTATTACAGTTAAATCTATTTTCAATTAATAATATATTATTAAGATTATGAATACATAATCACATAATTATTATTTTATTTTTACAACTTACAACATTAAATTTATTTCATTTTTTTTACAACTGTATTCCTTGATAAATACTGGATTAGATAGAATGCTAGATGATAATCATATTATACAAGATGCTCTAGTCTACCACGCACAAGTCACTCAACATACATTGGAATAATAATTAAAAATAATTTCAACTAATTCTTTAACACTTTAAAACGTATTTCAAATGATAACAGTTTATCTTTCATTATATTTACTTAATAGCTTTAAATATTAATCCTACGTTTAGTTATCCTTCTTCATTCTGTTTGAAGTCATTCTGTAAATTATTGAATCGCGTCCCGGATCCATATCCGCGATTGCAACTTTTATGTGAAAAAAAAAAAAAATAAAATATTTTATGAATAAATTTTGTTTGGATTTTTACAGCTAATAAATTAAAAATGTGACTTACTGCAAATTGCGATGAGAGAGAAGACAAAGATGATACTGAACCACAAGAAGATATTGAAGATTACCGGATAGTTGGCTGAGTATTTTTTAGCCAGATTAACGTCTTTTAACTAAAAAGAAAATCAATAATAATAATAATATTTATTGCTAGTAAAATATAGAAAATTACCAGCAAAATACATAAAAAAAATTAGAAAAAAGGTTGACTCTAAAAGCCATCCCTGTAACTTCCCGCTAAGTTCATATTTAAGCGCTCAAAATTGCGCTTATGAAGTTTCTTAATTATGTTAAATTGCACTGTACTTTCTTAAATATTGACGTTTTTAAGAATATAAGCTCACCTCGATGTTACTCTTATCAAGAGCTTTCATTTGAGTACCCACATGCATTTTCATATATTTTTCATATATACATATGTATAAATATATAAAATATATGAAAAATTAATGTGGGTACTCAAATGAAAGGTCTCGATGAGTATAATTTCGGAGTGAGCTTATATCTTTAAAAATGTCAATAGTTCTCAAGATACAAGGTCTTTTCTTAATTATGTTAAATTGAACCGTACTTTCTTAACTATTGAAATTTTTAAAGATTTAAGCTCATCCCGGTGTTACACTCCTCCAGAGCTTTCATTTGAGTACCCACATACATTTTTGATATATTTTTCATAAATACATATTTATAATATATATATAAATATATAAAATATATGAAAAATTGATGTGGGTACTCAAATGAAAGGTCTCGACGAGTATAACATCAGGATGAGCTTATATCTTATATTATACAGAAAATTATAGAAAATATTTTTTGTAGAAAATTTAATGTTCCACAAAAAAGATCTGTTACAATTTTCTCGTATTTCTAATAGTTAAAAAAATACAAAATAATGATAAAAGATCTATTTTGTAAGAAATTAAATTCCTTACAAAAAAAGATCTTTATCAATTTTTTTGTATAATATTTTATAATGTACAATTTCTTAAGTTAAAGAAGAAATTTTTAAATCAAGATATAAAATTCTCTACAAAATGATGGTATTTTTGGATCAAGAATATTTCTTCTGAACCAAGTAGTTTTTCTCACTGGGTTTATCAAAAATTACAGAATTTAAAACATAAGTTTGTTAAGAGTATACATTTTTTTATTGCAAAATAAAGATGTCTTATTATATAGTATATATATATAATATATACGAAATTTCTCGCGCTCTAATAGTGAGAAAAAAATCGCCACCTAGCGGTAACTTTCAAACTAAATTTAAAAAACGATTTAAATTTGGACTATTACTGTAAACTTAAGTGAATATCTGTAAAAAATGACTAAAAATAAAATAATAAAAGAAAAGTACAAGTTTGAATGAATGAAGTTGAGAATTGATTAGTCGAGTTAAACTAATATAACATGGTAATTGAATTAGAAATAGCAGCAACAGTCATACATGTGACCCGTCTGAAGACGATTGTCATACACTTTTGAATACTTATCTCCAATTCAGCGACACAATAACTTATTCTGTCTCAGTCCTTACAATCGACTTACAAATTACTGTAGATAATATATTTATAATAGATAATAATAAAAAAAAAAAAAAAAGTGAAATTAAAAATATAAATAAGTTAGAGTAGCTTACTTACTTTTCTGAGGATTCCCTCGAAGACCAGCGGCCACATGCAACTTAATAATGTACCAATAATTAAAAAAATTAATCCGACGACACCCAGCGCCACCGTTTTATTCGTCCAGGGCCTCATTTTATTAATACTAATTCGGCTCGTTAAATAAAACCGTTGATCTTTTTATTTTTTTTCACATATATATAATACAACGCGTGTTTCTTAAACTGACACAATCATGTAATCGTCACCCCCCGCCAGACAGACCGATTGGACTCTCGGTTATTTTATTATTATTTTTCTTCCGCTTCTCCTCACCGCCAAACTCTAAAAAAGATAAAATATATCTAATCTTACATATTTTTATTTTTATTATTATTAATATCTGTATTAATTTAAACTATTCATGTGCTTTTTAACAGATTTATTTTGTTTGGAAATAATGTTTTATTCATAACTTGGATGATTAATCGGGATTATAAATTTACGATAATCTTTTTTATTTTATTAGTTCTTAGTTAAATAAAGATAAATAAATATCAAAGATAAAGTTTTTTTTCATTATAGAAAATTTAATTTCTTTTTTAAATTCCCCGCAAAAAAAAATTTTCAAATGTGGCTACACGGAAAGAACAAGATGACACTGGATATCATCCCAGGTTATACTCAGTGATATTTGTAGTGAAAAAAAATTTTAGATAGTAGCTAGTATACTGAAAAAAGTAAACTGTAAAATTCACTCGGATTCCAGTTCATTTTTATAACTTCAAACAGTACAGCGGACATCGGGGTGGTGCAATTGTAAATATTGCAAAACTTAATGTAGAAAGTGTAAAAGCCTCAATTTATAATTTAATATCGAAAATGTGATTAGTAGCTGTCACTGTAGTAAATAACGACTCTCTCATCTTAAAAAATTACAGTTTCAAACAGTAAAAATTGTCGTTTCAATATATAGTATACACTATGAGGAGAAGGGGAAGGTCTCACACTCGGAGAATGTAACATTTGAAACAGTAAAAATTCTACTCTTAAAATATATATTTTACCATTCCAAACAAATCAATAATTATAGTTTAAATTTTAGCAATGCGTTTAAAATTTACCACTTTACTTTGTAAATATTGACGTTGCTTGTATAGAAATTTAGTAACTGTAGTTTATATTTTTTACATATCATAAGATCATTTTTTAGCTACGAAATGATAAATATCAAAGTCAAAATTCTTAATTGTTATACTTTAACATTTTGGACTTTTACATAGCGAGTATTACTATTTTAAATAGTATTTTCTTCCATGTAAATAATAAATTGTAGCATTTAAATGATAAATATTATAAAGTGATTGTTAAAATCACGATTTTACTGTTTGAAACGGTAATTTTTTCCAGTTGATCATTACTTATTATAAATCGACTATCATTTATTACAGTTTACTTTTATCCGTGTAAATATTTTGATATGAAGACTAATTTTTTTTTTTATTTTCTCTAAATTTACAAAACATCACATATTGTAAGTCTTAATGTAAAGTTACAAAATAAACATTGGTTAAAGTCACTTTGAGATAAAAAAAAAAGTTCTGATAAAAATAAAAAATTAATTTGATAATTGAAAAAAAAAAAAAAAAAAAAACCAAGTCAATTTTTATAAATAGTCATAAATTTATCAAAATTCAAGTCATCATTCGTAACAAAACCCTCCCGATTTTTGAAAATTTTCAATTTTCTTAGCAGGAAGTTTAAAATAATGAATGTACGCATTAATATCTCTCCTATAGAAATATTTTACATCTGTACATAGAACTAGAACAGTATAAATCCAAGAAAGCGTATAATTAAAATCCAAAGAGATATTATAATTAATAAATAAATGAATAATTGATGCTTATTCAAAAAATCATAAAAAGTTTGACATTATATATTAATTTGTATAATCCATTTTGTTAATTTATTTTTAATTGACTTTTTGCTTAATTGACCTTACAAATTTTTAAGGTCATATGATAGTTTGCTATAATAATTAATAGCAATTAATAGTAATTAGAGCTTTTACTACAGATACAGTTTTATAAATACGTACATACAAATTGAAAATTATTTTTAAAATAAACTCTGGGATAAATTATTACGTAAAAACATTCCTCATGCATGAAAAATAAAGTAAAAGTGCAGAAAGTTGACTAGTAACGCCAATATATGTAAACAAATTTTTTTTTTTGGTAATAAAAAAAATGTAATGTAAGGACATTTATGACGTCAGTACCTCAACTGGTTTATCAACTTGACCAGTCATTGATTGAACCTCGTGTTGATAGTTCAATTCATCCGACGAATCAGTGTGTTCGTTAGTGTTAGTATTTAATTCGGTTGTACTTATGGGTTGGTTAGTATTTTCACTTACACCTTTATTACTTTCAGTTTCTTCGGAATTCAATTTATCTTCCATCGTTTCCTCATTCTATAAAATGTGTTACGTGAAAGGAGTTACAAGTTACAAGTGTTAGTACTTAAGCTTTAGGGGTTTATAAATACGTCTATATATATCTGTTTGATTAAGCGTTACTAGATTTGTGCTCACTCATGCCGTTATTTATAACATTTAAATTGCTAGTTATGTTTTATCATCATTTTTTTACTTAATTTGATATTTTTAACTTTACTTTTATGCTAATTAACTTATTTATTAATTATTGAAAAATAAATACCGGTGTGGATGTAAATGAAGTAGCAGTTGAATCTTGAGGTTTTTCTGAGCTCGCTGAGCTTTCAGTTGACTGTAAAATATTTTTTAGTCAATAAATTAAGCGGTGATCGGAAAAAATTTATAAGTTATGAAAAATTCACATTATATCATAAAAATTATTATATAATAAAAATAATATTTTTTTTTGTAACAAAATGGAGCGATTATTATAATTTTAAATTTTATAATAATTTTAATGGAACAATATAAACTAGCAAAAGTCACGATGTGATTTCCGTGACTTATGAACTATAAATAAATAAAGTTTTGCTTGATCAAATAATGACTTTTGATAAATTGCACTGTACTTTTTTAACTATTGACGTTTTTAAAGATATAAGCTCATCCCGATGTTACACTCATCAAGAGCTTTCATTTGAGTATCCACATGCATTTTTGATATATTTTTCATACATACATATATATAAATATATAAAATATATGAAAAATTGAAGTGGGTACTCGAATGAAAGGGCTTGATGAGTGTAACATCGAGATGAGCTAATATCTTTAAAAATGTCAATAATTCATAAGATACAAGGTCATTCCTTAATTATTGATATTTTTAAAGATATAAGCTCATCCCAGTGTTACGGTCATCAAGAGCTTTCACTTGAGTACCTACATGCATTTTTGATATATTTTTCATTTATACATATATATAATTATATAAAATATATGAAAAATTGATGTGGGTACTTAAATCAAAGGTCTTGATGAGTGTAACATCGGGATGAGCTTATATCTTCAAAAATGTCAATAGTTCACAAAATACAAGATAGTTTCATAATTATGTTAAATTGCACTGTACTTTCTTAACTATTAACATTTTGAAAGATATAAGCTCATCCCGATGTTACACTCACCAAGACCTTTCTTTATACATATATATAATTATATAAAATATATGAAAAATTGATGTGGGTACTTAAATCAAAGGTCTTGATGAGTGTAACATCGGGATGAGCTTATATCTTCAAAAATGTCAATAGTTCACAAAATACAAGATAGTTTCATAATTATGTTAAATTGCACTGTACTTTCTTAACTATTAACATTTTGAAAGATATAAGCTCATCCCGATGTTATACTTATCAAGAGATTTCATTTGAGTACCCACATGCATTTTTTATATATTTTTCATATATACATATATATAAATATATAAAATATATGAAAAATTGATGTGGGTACTCAAATGAAAGGTCTTGATGAGTGTAACATCAGGATGAGCTTATATCGTTAAAAATGTCAATAGTTTACAAGATACTAGGCCATTTCTTATTTATTTATATTTTTAGAAATGTAAGCTCTTTAAAAATAATAGTAATAATATTAATTTTTCATAACTTGAAAGTTTTTCCAGGATTCAAATTGAGAAATAAAAAATTTTTTTTAAATAATTACCACAGGCTCTGCACGGCGAACTCGTAAAGACTCAACGGATCTGGTATTTCTAACTTTGTTGGCATCATTTGTAAATGCGGCGATGACAACGTCACCGTTGTACACTTCGATAAAAGCGTTAGAAATATCATCGAGTACGCGGTTAAGTAAATTGAAAGCTTCTTGAACAGTTTGAGAATTTTTTCCGTGCAATTCAATCAGGGGCTGTAATCCAGACACCACTAGCCAGTAAATGTCAGGCTTGGAATTAGCAGTGACTGTTGAAGGAACATGTTGAGCGATTGCGCGGAGCAGTTGGATCTCTTCGATGAATTTTCGGTCTTCTTCGATCTTTGGATCTAAAAATTTAACTGATGACTCGTCAAGGGCGATCGGCTTCAACTCTCCCAGCGCTGACTGACCTAGCTATTATTTTATTGAAAAAATTTATTATTTTACTCAATAAAAATTTTAATAAAAAATAGTTCAACTTACAGCATTGACACCGTCTCCTACGCAAATTCTTACTAAAGTATTATTATTTTCTCGTCCACCCAACCGACGACTCACTGCTTGCCAGGTTGTTTCTTCTACTTCGTCGACGATCAGAGGAAAGCGCTGGCCACGTTGAGAATCCAATGAGTCAACACCTTCAACCGCTATACTGACCACTGCTTCGGGCGGATTGAATGGGTCTACAATCTCTACTCCTTGCCACTGATGACGCTGCAATGAAAATTTAAATAATAAGTTACATGATTAAGAAAATAAGAAAAATGTTGTCTCCAGGATAGTCATGTGAGAATATGATGATATTTATTATGATAAGTATTTAGGCTGCATTCCAAAATACTCTATCTTTAGGTACATAATTAAGAAATGGCCTTGTATTTTGTGAAATATTGACATTTTTAAAGATATAAGCTCATCCTGATGTTACACTCATCGAGACCTTTCATTTGAGTACCCACATCAATTTTTCATATATTTTATATATTTATATATATGTGTGTATGAAAAATATATGAAAAATGCATGTGGGTACTCAAATGAAAGCTCTTGATGAGTGTAACATCGGGATGAGCTTATATTTTTAAAAATGTCAATAGTTAAGAAAGTATAGTGCAATTTAAAATAATTAAGAAACTACCACGTATCTTGTGAACTATTGACATTTTTAAAGATATAAGCTCATCCTGCTGTTACACTCATCGAGACCTTTCATTTGAGTACCCACATCAATTTTTCATATATTTATATATATATTATATATATGTATATATGAAAAATATATGAAAATTGCATGTGGGTACTCAAATGAAAGCTCTTGATGAGTGTAACATCGAGATGAGCTTATATCATTAAAAACGTCAATAGTTAAAAAAGTACAGTGCAATTTAACAAAAGTAATTATTTAATACAACAATATTTTATTTATTTATCGTTTTCAAGTCATTGTAATTAATAAAATAATTATTTATAAATACCTTTCTGACAGTGTATCCCAAGATACCTGTAAAGACTTCCTTCAACAGGGTCTGATTAACTGGATCGGTACCCTTGAACTTCACAGTTTGTGGACTGTGTAATATTACAAAATCTCCATCACAGTAAACTATAAATAAATAATATAATTTGGTTAATTTATGACTACTATTAGTGAAAATAAATAAATAAATGCCACACCCAATCAATAATCAACTTGTGATATTGTTACTGGATATAATTATCGAGTAAATACTATATAAATTAATCAATTAGTATGTACATACCAGATGCAAGTGTGCAAAGAGTTAATAATGTTATTTTTAACATTTTACTTATTTTATAATTAATTCAATAAAACGAAATTGTTAAGTTGGATAAATTTTTTGATAATTTTGGTCCTAACCCAATAATCTCGTGAAAATCCGATCATATGACAGTGTTTAGTTGAGTTTTTTTAACTAGAGGCGCTGCAGCATGTTATCAAAGTATCCGACAGATGTCACTTAATGATAATTTGAAATTTCAATTTTAAAATCTCAATTATTATTATGACAATGTCAAAATTAACAAAATAAATAAAAAAAAATTTTTTACTATTTGACTTTAACTCACATGTCATTTTTTTTTTATAAACAAACAAAAAGTCTTATAAAAATTCAAAGAACAATTAGTTTTTCTATTTAAAATAAAAAAATTGTCATATCGTCCATTTACAATTAATAAATAGGTTAAAATTTTTATAAAATATTTTATTAATAATTATATTAACTAATAGTGATTGTATCTTAAATTAAACATCCACTTTCTGACAATTAAGGTAAAAATTTTATTACATTACAAAGTTAGCAGTCACTTGCCCACTTTTATGATACTGAAATCATGACACTGAAGTTAGCAGACGTATAAAAATTTTTGATTTTTTTTATTGATTAAATTACAACCAAAAAGATAATTATAAAAAATTGCACTTATAGTTTTTCAAGTTTTTTACATGTGGAATTTTTTTTTTTTTAATTGTTTAATTGAAATTTTTTCAATAAAAATTTTGAAATGTCGGCTCACTTTATTTTCATACTGAAATCAGCTGATATTAAAAAATATTTTGGTTGCTTTCTTTAATTAATTTTAAATTAACGAAATAATTAAAAAAATTTTTTCACTTATAGTTTTTCAAAATTTTTACTTGTCAAATTTTTTCTTTAATTTTTATGTAATTATTTTTTTTTAGTAATAAAAAAAATGAAAATTAAGTCAGCCGACATATAAAAATTTTTAGAATTTTTTTTATTGAAAAAATGATAGCAAAAAAATAAAAAAAAAATTTTCACTTGTAAAAAAACTTAAAAAATTGTCAGTGCAATTTTTCAAAAATATTTTTTTGTTCTAATTTAATTATTAAAAAAAAATCCAAAAATTAAAAACGTCGGCTAACTTTAGTATCATTAAAAAAAAAATAAAATAATTTAAAAAATAAATAAAATTTACCATCAGAAGTTATTTTTTAAACAAACTATGAAGAGGACTCTGGAAGCAGAAATGTTAGCGCCATCTTAACAACACCGTTGAGTTAATTGTCCATTACATTACATCAAAGTGATTTTGCGTGAATGTGTTGGTGTACGAATGGGCTTGTCATAGTCCATAGTCGTCGTCTTGGTGGTTCTGTGTGTTATAGTTATTTTATCCTCCGGTTCGGTTTTAGATTTTAAAATCCTGTCGTCACAAATAAATAAATCCATCAGAAAGGTGAGTTTCCTTCCATACTCCAAACATACAGAATGTACAATTAATTTTAAATAAACATATAAAAAAAACTCCAACTAGCTATTGCAAATTATTATGTCTACATCAATCGTTTAATTTTTAGGAAAAAAAAAATCTGTTGTACATAGATAGATATTTGTGTAAGTTTATTTGCCGTGGGTTATCAACCTCATCATCGCCGTCGTCGTCATCATCATCATCATCATCATCACCATCATCAAAATCATTTATCTATTTTTCCATCACTAAAATATATCCGTCAATCTACATTCTACATATATACAAAAGTATATATACATATACATTTTCCCTTCACTTGAAATTACAACCTACACTATACAAATGGACGAGAAAGCGTGTCCTCAAGACGCCTCCATCATCAATACGTCACTTTATTTTTTCTAATTGCTTTTGTGATTATTTAACGTATCACTTTGTCACTATCATTTTATTTTTTTTATTTCCGCCTATTTTATTGTTCTTAAACAAATATTGTCTTGTCTGTTTAAAAAGAACCCACTGTTCATTCTTAGTAAGCTCTATGATGATGATTAATCCGTTATTCCGTGAATTCATTTAAATAAAAGTAAATTTATTATTATTTTTATTTTTATGCTCTTCTTCATGACACTGTCACTCAACCGCCAAGGTCACAGTTCATTAATCCATTAAAAAAAGCACTCAATAATTGTTACTAGCAACCTTGCAGTCACTATGTGACTGCCATGACTTGTGAAATATAAATAATCAAAATTTTGCTTTATTAAGTAATGAATTTTGTTAAATTGCACTGTACTTTTTTTAATATTGACGTTTTTAAAGATATAAGCTCATCGTGGTGTTACACTCATCAAGAGCTTTCATTTGAGTACCCACATGCATTTTTAATATATTTTTCATATATTCATATATATAATGTATATATAACATATATATAATAAATATATGTAAAACTGATGTAGGTGCTCAAATGAAAGGTCTCGATAAGTGTAATGTCAAGATGAGCTTATATCTTTAAAAATGTCAATAGTTCACAAGATATGAGGTCGTTTCTTAATTATGTTGAATTGCACTGTACTTTCTTAACTGTTGACATTTTTAAAGATTTTAGCTCATCCCGATGTTATACTCATCAAGAGCTTTTATTTAAGTACCCACATGCATTTTTGATATATTTTTCAGATATATAAATATATAATATATATAAATATATAAAAAATTGATGTGGGTACTCAAATGAAAGGTCTCGATAAGTCTAATGTCAAGATGAGCTTATATCTTTAAAAATTTCAAAATTTCACAAGATATGTTTCTTAATTATGTTAAATTGTACTGTACTTTTTTAACTATTGACATTTTTTAAGATTTTAGCTCATCCCGATGTTACTCTCATCAAGAGCTTTCATTTGAGTACCGACATGCATTTTTGATATATTTTTCATATATACATATATATAAATATATGAAATATATGAAAAACTGATGTGGGTACTCAAATGAAAGGTCTTGAGGAGTGTATTGTCGGGGTGAGCTTATATCTTTAAAAATGTCAGTAGTTCTCAAGATACAAGGTTGTTTCTTAATTATGTTAAATTGCACTGTACTTTCTTACCTATTGACATTTAAAAAAAATATAAGCTCATCGCGATGTTACACTCATCAAGAGCTTTCATTTGAATACCCACATGCATTTTTGATATATTTTTCATATATACATATATATAATATATATAAATATATGAAAAATTTATGTGGGTACTCAAATGAAGGTCTTGATGAGTGTAATTTCAAGATGAGCTTATATCTTCAAAAATGTCAATATTTCACAAGATAAAAGGTCATTTCTTAATCATGTATCTAGAGATGGAGTATTTACAAACGCTGCCTAAGTACTTACCATAGTAAATTTACTATCGGTGAGAATTATATGAAACTTTAAAAAGGCACTAATTTAAGTCAAGACCTTTGCAATGACTCTAAATTTCACTATAAAAACCATATGACTATCCTGGACACAATATTTTTCTTATTCTCTTAATAATATAAATTCCAATAGTTCAATTCAACTACTTGACTGATGATTGATTAATTTATAAAGTTATCAAATCGATTGGTAATCCAATCATAACTAAATATGATACCAAATAAAATAATCGATTAGTTCACGGTCAATATGAGTAGACATTATTATGTATTTAAAAGCTATTCATGGATCGTGGAAGCCCTATTCCAGCAACAACTCTCTCTCTACATCTACTATATGCAATTTTAATATAACAACACGACTTTACTGACAAATGTCGTCACTAAATAAATACGTTACCCTGTCTCTACATATATCCTTTTTATTATTCTTTATTTAGCTTCTTATATTAGACAATACTATAGTGATTGTTATTTTTATACATACAAAAAAAACTGCCTGTAGCAGCAGTTCAATTACTCACTTTCAAGTGGTAATGACCTGTATAAATGACATTGTAGATTATCCTTATTCATTTTATCAATTCATTTCATCACAATTTTTTTTTTATTTCTACTTTTAATTTTTAAAATAACCCAATTTTACTTTAAACATCTAGTCCACGTGAAAGAGACATTAATTAATTATGTATTGTGTAATTAATGAAATTTTATATAAATGACCTGAAGATTTAGCCGGGACTGATAAGATAGTAGCTGGGAGATTATTTACTTTTGATAACCCAATACCATTTAATTTATTATTTATATTTTGTTATTCTTTGTTTCAGAAAAAACAATCAAAGATTTAGTTTTATTTAAACGTCTAAAAGTAAATTTATATATTTATCAAGGTGTGTATGTTATAAATATAAATATTTTATTATCATTTACAATTTTACAGTTTAAATTATTTAAATAATTTATTTATTTTTTGTTTTTTGACAGATGAGGAAACAAGGACAAGATGTAATGCAAGTTAATTTAGCGGGGATAAGACGGGATATACTAAACCTTGCTCACAATTATAGTCCTGCTCAGGTAAATATTTTATAAATTAATACTGAAATTGAGAGATTTATGAAAACTTTTTTTAATTAAGAAACTAGCAACCTTGCAGTCATTATGTGAATTAAAAAAATTACAATTTTGCTTCATTAAATAATGAATTTTGTTACATTGCACTGTACTTTCTTAAATATTGATGTTTTGAAAGATATAAGCTCACCACGATGTTACACTCATCAAAAGCTTTCATTTGAGTACCCACATGCATTTTCATACATTTTTCATATATTCATATATATATAAATATATAAAATATATGAAAAGTTGATGTGGGTACTCAAATGAAAGGTCTCGATGAGTGTAACATCGGGATCAGCTTATATCTTTGAAAATGTCAATATTTCACAAGATACAAGGTCATATCTTAATTATTGACATTTTTTAAGATATAAACTCATTTCGATGTTACACTCATCGAGACCTTTCATTTGAGTACCCACATGGCATTTTTTATATATTTTATGTATATGGTATTTGTGAAATATATAAATATATAAAATATATGAAAAATTGATGTGGGTACTCAAATGAAAGGTCTCGATGAGTATAATGTCGGGGTGAACTTATATGTTTAATAATGTCAATAGTTCTTGAGATAAAAGGTCATTTCTTATGTTAAATTGCACTGTACTTTCTGAAGTATTGACATTTTTAATGATATAAGTTCATCCCGATGATACACTCATCAAGACCTTTCATTTGAGTACCCACATCAATTTTTCATATATTTATATATATGTATATATAAAAAATATATCAAAAATGCATGTAGGTACTCAAATGAAAGGTCTCGATGAGTGTAACTTATTGGTGTGTAAAAGGTAATTTATTAATAATTTATCTAGTTAATTTCTTAATTTTTTTAATAATTTAAGCATTATATAAATAATTAATTATTAAAATAATAAATATTTATTAATTATTAATTTTTCCAGAAATTAGTTAGAAAAGCAACAAGCAACGATCCATGGGGTCCTACAAGCACACTTATGGCTGAAATAGCCGACTTGACGTACAATGTAGTTGCATTTACAGAAATAATGCAGATGCTGTGGAAGAGACTGAATGACCACGGCAAAAATTGGCGGCATGTTTATAAAGCCCTCATTGTTCTGGACTATCTGATAAAAACCGGCTCGGAGAAGGTGGCACAGCAGTGTAAAGAAAATATATTTGCTATTCAAACGCTTAAGGATTTCCAGTACATGGACGGTATTAAGGATCAGGGTATTAATGTAAGAGAAAAAGCTAAGCAGTTAGTGGCCTTACTGAAAGACGATGAACGTTTGAGAAACGAACGTGCGAGGGCTTTAAAAGCTAAAGAGAGATTTGCTCAATCTGCCAGTGGCTTTGGGAGTGATGGACTGGAGGCAATGCCATCATTAGGAGATGTAAGATTTAATCATTAAAAAAAAATAGATCTTAATATAATAATAATAATAATAAATTTTTTATTTTTTTCGTAGCTTTGTTCACCAGACTGGGATCCTTACCAAGGAAAATCCGAGTCTAAACGTAAGAATAAATTTTTTTTTAACAAAAACTTTTATAATTTCCATTTAATTATATTTATTTGAACCGCGTGGTAGTTTATTATTTATGTAATTTTTTGTTAAATTAATTAATTTAAATTTTGAGTCTAAAAAAAAAGATAAGCATAGATAGATCCGTTATTATTTTTTTAATTATTCTATTATTATGGATTGCGCAATGTATACAATAATCAGCCGAACTAGAAGCAGCTAGACCACAGACTGTCGGTGAGGAGGAGCTGCAGTTGCAGTTGGCACTCGCTATGTCAAGAGAGGAAGCCGAGCAAGAGGAGCAAAGAAGACGCAGTGACGACGTTAGACTACAATTAGCTCTCAGTCAAAGTCAGCAAGACTTCAAGTAATGATCAATTTTCTTAAAAAATTACACTAATAATTATTTATTTATTTATTTTTTTTTATTTAATTTAAAATGAATATTTATCGCCTTAGAGCACCGCCAACTGAAAAAGCAAGCCACATGCTCGACTTGCTTGATGTAAATCTCGGTGAAGCCAGTGGTGGCTCTCAACAAGTCGATCCATGGGGCGTTCCGATAGTTCCACCTCCACCAAGACCTCAGGTATCTACAGATATTTTTTGTTTAATTTTATCTATGCAATTTTTTAATGCACGTAATTTAAAAATCGCTGCATGATACATGATACGTCAACACTTTTTTGCATTTGCATGTCAGTCCTTGGACTTATCTCGTTATTATTATCATGAGGTAGGGATTGTTTTAAAGATTTAAACAATATATTCAATTACTTATCGTAGTCAGCTTTTTTTTTTTTAATTAATTTAGTTTAATTAAAAATATAAATTATTTTTGATAGACTCATGTGGACCCATGGAGTGCTCCGACAACAAGCAGTGCAGCTGCAGCAGCTCCACTGGACCCGTGGTCGCCTGCTCCACCTCAACCAAGTAAATATATTTTTTTTTCTTTACAAATTATTACTAGCAACCTTGCAGTCACTACGTGACTGCAGTGACTTGTGCACTATAAATAAATAAAATTTTGCATTATTAAATAATGAATTTTGGTAATTGCACTGTACTTTTTTAACTATTGACGATTTTAAAGATGTAAACTCATCTCAATGTTACACTCATCAAGACCTTTCATTTGAGTACCCACATGCATTTTCATATATTTTTCATATATACATATATAAAATATATGAAAAATTGATGTGGGTACTCAAATGAAAGGTCTCAATGGGTGTAATGTCAGGATGAGCTTATATCTTTAAAAATGTCAATATTTCACAAGATAAAAGGTAATTTTTTAATTATTGATATTTTTTAAGATATAAGCTCATTCTGATGTTACACTCATCAAGACCTTTCATTTAAGTACCCACATGCATTTTCATATATTTTTCATATACACATATATATAATATATATGAAAAATTGATGTGGGTACTCAAATGAAAGGTCTTGATGAGTGTAACATCGGGATGAGCTTATATCTTTAAAAATGTCAATAGTTCACAAGATGCAAGATCATTTCTTAATTAAGTATCTAGAGATAGAGCATTTTCGAATGCAGCTTAAATACTTATCATCATAAATTGGGTATTGTGAGAATGATATGAAACTGGTCACAAAATTTTGCTTACTCTCTTAATAATAGAGATTATAATAACTCGTTTTGTTACGCAATAAATTATTTGGCAAGGTTTATAAATACGCAATACTTATTGATGAAATAATTTTTTAGCAGCCGCGGTGGATCCATGGCGGGCACCCGCACCTTCCCCGGCAACAGTAGCCTCACCAGCTCGCACTGCGACCACCGTCGATCCCTGGTCTTTGGCGCCAACGACCACCGAAGCCTTGACAACACCGTCCACGACTTTTAATAACTCAACATCGCTTACACCCCCGAATATCGGGTTCAACGTTGCACCATCATCACAAAATATTGGATTTAGTAATATTTCATCACCAAGTGCTTCTGGATTTAATAATAACAACAGCAACGGGTTCAGTAGTTCCGGTACTAGTTTTAATAATTTCAATCACTCGCCGAATCAAGGTAGCACGACGACCAGTCCCGGTGATTTGGATGAATTTGATATTATAAGTAATCGTAATAAAATTAGAACGAGTCCGCAACTTGTCAATAATGGTATTTATTTTTTTTTTTATTTCTTAGAATAAAAAAAATAAACTTGAATCAAGAGAAAAATTCGGTAAATATTTACAAGTGGGGTCCACCATTTTAATTTTCATTTTTTTGAACGCAATATCTAATTCATTTTATTAATATATATATATATATTTTTTTTTTAATAAAAAAAAGAATTTAAAAAAAAATTTGATTATCATAATTTGAACAAATTTTTAAAAAAATTTATAAATTTTTTAGAAAATTTTGATATTCAATTTTTTTTTTTTAATTGTTCATTTTTTTGTGTACTTTTCAAAAAGAAAATTTATCAAAAAAAGATAAAATAGAAATTTTATCCAAAAACATAAGAGCCAAAATTTTTTCCAACTTTTAAAGGCCAATCTTTATTTTTTTTTTTTTTTCACGATATTTTTGATCATAAATGCGCCGTAAAAACAAGCAGAATAAAAAAAAATTAAAAATATTAATTTTTCACCTAGATATGACTAAAAATAGGGTTGACCCCACTTGTATATAATTACCAAAAATTCTAGAGCCAAGAAAATTGTTTTGAAACGTTTCATTGTCTTGAATCAGGACGAAAAATTTTTTAATTTAGTGAAAATTTACTTAAACTAAAAAAAATTTCTCAGTTTAAGAATTTTTCTACTCAAATCAAGAAGATAAAGTTCTTCAAAATTATTTAAGATAAAAGACCCAGTTATTGAAACTTGTATTTTTATTTTAATTAAAAAAAAAAACAAAACAAAACTTATAAGTTAATAATTATAAATTGTAAGGAAATTGGTTTTTTGAGTACATTTAATTTTTTCAATTAGAATAAAATTGCAAGTGTCAAACAACTAGGCCAGTGTCAATAACTGGGTTTTTTACCTTACTCGATTTAAGTAATTTTTTTTTTCTGTCTGTTGAGTGTTATTGCAATTATTTTATTCTTTAGGAGGTACAATGTCACCTGATCCTTTCAATTTTGGTACGCTGAATGATAATTTACCAGTGAGTACTGGTGCTATCAAAAAAACCCCTCAATCATTTCTTGGTGAAAACTCAGCGCTTGTTAATCTTGACAATCTTGTGAGCACATCAACAATCAAATTATCGGCCCCAGCATCTACTGGTAATTTTTAATATTTATTTTTTTTATTTAAAAGATAATTTCATTTGGGCCATATCCGAGCACGCAATTATTATTATTTTTTTAGTTATTTTCATAACTAATGTTACAATTATCTAAATTTAAAACATAAAATATTGTTGTAGTCAGGAAATTCGTCATAAATTCTATAATTCTGACCTTGAATACAAAAATAAAATTTTTTTATCATTTATAATTGTTTTAACTCATGCGATAAATTTAATACCGGGCGTTGTGAACTCTATCGTTCAATTAATTATCGAGATATGGCAGCCTACAAATGAAAATATCTAATTACGTAACTAAAAAACTAAAACTACTAAAATCTATTAAAATAATTGTTATTAAATTGCCTTTAATTGTTTCATAAAACTTCATATTTCATATTAATTAAGCACTTAACGCTTGTTATGTATATTAATTTAATGTAATATATAATCCAACATATTTTTATAAAACAGCATTTCAATGGAAGTAATTTCCGTGAGTATTGACGCATACACGGAATTCGAGTTGTTTGTCAGCATAATGGGTGTTCCAACGCATGCTTTTTTTCTGTTATCATTATTAATTATCTCTTAATTTTATTTTATCTATTTATCATATATATTTGACAGGAGGAGGAATTTATTTTAGTATTTGAATATCAGTGCATGTGTTATGTGATTGTCATATCATTTTAGTACCAAGTTGAATATGAAATTTTTAAAAAATAATTAGCAACCTTGCAGTCACTATGTGACTGCCGTGAACTGGACTTAAAAAAAAATTTGCTTTATTGAATAATGACTTTTGTCAAATTGCACTATATTTTTTTAACTATTGACGTTTTTAAAGATATAAAGTCATCCCGATGTTGCACTTATCAAGAGCTTTCACTTGAGTACCCACATGCATTTTTGATATATTTTTCATATATAAATATATATAATATATATAAATATATGAAAAATTGATGTGGGTACTCAAATGAAAGGTCTTGATGAGTGTAACATCTAGATGACCTTATATCTTTAAAAATGTCAATAGTTCACAAGATACGAGGTCATTTCTTAATTACGTTAAATTGCACTGTACTTTCTTAACTATTGACATTTTTAAAGATTCAAGCTCATCCCGATGTTACACTCATCAAGAGCTTTCATTCGAATACCCACATCAATTTTTGATATATTTTTCATATATACATATATATAAAATATATAAATATATGAAAAATTGATGTGGGTAGTCAAATGAAAGGTTTCGATGAGTGTAATGTCAGGGTGAGCTTATATCTTTGAAAATTTCAATAGTTCACAAGATACAAGGTTGTTTCTCAATTATGTTAAATTGCACTGTACTTCCTTAACTATTAACATTTTTATAGATATAAGCTCATTTCGATGTTACACTCATCAAGAGCTTTCATTCGAATACCCACATCAATTTTTGATATATTTTTCATATATACATATATAATATATATAAATATATAAAATATATAAAAAATTGATGTGGG